GTGTGATGACAAAGAGTCTTTGATCGACAGTTTGAAAAGCGCGCATGATGCATCGATCGTTAACCCCTCCCCCAAGCGTACGGTTTTATCTTAAACTACGTTCATAATACACCGGAGCGCATTAATGCCGGCAGAATTTACGTGTGTATATAGTAAATTCAGAGTTGCAAAGAAGTGTTCCTCCGGGTAAAAATTCAAGTTTTGAAAACCTTCCTCAAAATCATGTGAATTATAGCCTTTTCAAATTGCAATATATAGTATAAATTATGTCATTCAAAATCGGCATCTTATTCCTGTTTCTTACTGAGTACTTTTCAATTTATATTGTTTTCTCCAATGTATATTCTCCAATGTTATAACATAGTCTTTCGAGACATGGTCTGGAAACTCAGTAAACTTCAAAGCGGTTATAATGAGCTGTGTGTTTATGTTGAGCCGTACCTTACACCGTGCACATCCTTTGTTTTAGGTTTATTAATATTTAAATAGCATGGTTGAATAACTGAAACGTTGCTATTGGATGATTCGTTCATTATACTGAAATACAATGTGTTCATTGACCGTGCACAAAACTGCATAAACGCGAACAAAAAGATAGAACAAAGACTTTAGCGGAGTTTCCAAACCATGTTTTGAAAGACTATGGTTATAGTCAACTGGTACCGTTACTATCACATGCATGAATAGTTACCAGCACAATGTCAGTATCCTACCAACCTCAACCTACCTAGTCAAGTATCATTTATTTGTTTTATGGTGTTGAGTAGAGTTTTCCACGATAAACCTTCCTTATTGACCTCGCGCACACCAGAAAGGTTTTTGCAACTCGATATATATTTATATTTTCCTTGCTTTGTTAGCATGATTTATAGAGTAATTCCCGGGAATTATTCATATTATGCTAGGACAATAACGACACATAAACTTTATATATTGTTGTTCAGTTCCTGACTTGGTAAGTTGTACTGCGATAATTTCGACGCAGGAACTAGGCTGGGTATGGACCCATTTTCACCCACAGTATAACGCCCGTATTCTAAAAGCTCACTCGCACTCAATGAGTGGAGGTTCAATCTGAGTTTTTCTTGAGTGTCAATGCTGTTTTTGAATAGCTGGAGGGTTAGTGTCGTACCTTACTATGTGACTATTCACCATCCAGGTATTCAAAAACAGCATAAACACTCAAAAGCTCAGATTGAACCTCCACTCAGTGAGTGTGAGTGAGCTTTTAGAATACGGGCGTAAGACTACACTTTACATAAAGCTGGACTCACAAAGACGTCGTTTATTGTACTTCTATCGAGTTTGCAATCTCTTCTATAACTATCATTTCACAATGATCTTTATGTTTAGGAAAATTAGATTACATGGCATGTAGCTTTATAGAACAAATCATTTACATCACAACACTCTGTATATGCATTCAGTGACTAAATTCTAACTTTACAACCCAATTAGAGATATTCGGTACGAGATATTTTCGGATCGGTATACACAAGATACAAGAAATCTTCGGATTGATAGGGATACAAACCAGAAAAATACAAGAACTTTGACCTTTCGAGCGAAGTGTCTTCATTGGGAAGTTAGTTGCCCACTACCTTCCCGACAAAGTGCCTTCGCTCAAAACTTCGAAGTTCTCTGCCTTGTATTGTTTGAGGTAGCGGTATCCCTATCATCCAAGCTTTCTTATTACTGGCAATGGCACTGCCGTTCTGGCCCTTTAATAACGGAAATTTAAAGCAGACTTTGCAAAGTGCAAGCACCGCCTGCGACAATTTTGGAGGAATTTCAACCGTACATCCAATTAAGAAACTAACGCAATATAGACTTACATTCCAGCCTCCTCCGCAGGCATCTCACTGAGGAATCGGGTAGAGGCCTGCGGAGGAGGCTACTTACATTCTAAGATTGGCACTTCTTACTTGGGCGTATCACGGAATTTCTACTTCTAGTGCAACAAAATCGATGATTTTGGTATATAGGAAAATTCGGTATACCAGTGTGACTGGAAAACTCGTACTGATATGAAAGCTTCGGATTGATATAGGGATGCAACTCTTGTATTTTTTTTGGCAGTTACATCCCTATCAATACGAAGCTTTCATATTATATTGGCACAAGGTAATATACAAATATTGGATTAATTACCGGTATTTTTAGAGAACGGTATACCGAACAGGCCTAAACCCAATATACCCAATATACATTGGGTTGCATACACGCGTAAAAACGCTCGGGCTGTTGAAATATTGATGAAAACAGGATTGAACAATGTTTTGCTGCCCACATTGTTAACAATATTGAACAATATTGTTACACCCGATTCAGGCTCAACAATATTGTTCAATATTGTTGACAAGTGTGAACAACGTGGGCAGCAAAACATTGTTCAGTCCTGTTGAGCAGTGGGCTCGGCGTTTTTTGCCGTGTAGATGACGTGACTTTGGCTATAGGGCCTCGTTTTAGTGGTGCTTCAGTTATAGCGGTGCCTTGCATTGGAATAATCTTCCCCATGAGGCAAAAATTCCTGAATCTCTTTAAAATATTAATTTTAAAAAGAATGAGTTGAAACTTGCTCGTGTATGATCGTGCACTAAAAATCATTGTATTTTCTTGTTCCCTTTCCTGCAATCTAGTCTTATTTTATCTTTTTTCATATTTCTTTACTTTTTGGAAATAGTTAATTCTATATTTCACACGTAAACGTTCCAGTACTATCCGATAAATATCCGGCAAATTTTTACTGGATAGCGACAGTGTCTATATTTTACCGGATATTGGCTACCAATAACCGGATACGGCACATCCCTAGCGAATACGTCATTGTATCGGCGACTTCAGAGGAAGGATTTTGGTGCTCCATTGTCGAGAAAACGTCAAAACCAAAAGTCGTACTCCAAAAGGGGGGGGGGGGGGGGGGGAGTGGTGGATCATTCGGAAAACATCGGGAAAATTATGAAAGTGAAATTATGTCCGGAAAAATTCGAAAGGAAAGGGGGAAATTATGTCCGGAAAAATCCGAAAGGAAAGGGGGAAATTATATCCGGAAAAATCCCCCCGTCGGCAAGAATTCCATAGCGTTGTCTTTTTTATAATTTCATGATACAGGTAATCAAAAAATTGGAGTACCTTGAAACCAATTGCAAGGCTGCCATGAAGGAGGAAAATCACAAAAAGTATAGTCCACGCCACCTAGAAAGAGACAGCAAAGATATTCAATATTTAACTTCGACCCTCAAATGTGCCGAGACTTAAAGGTGTACCTAAAACAATAGTGAGCTTAAGCAAGTGACGTGTTGTCAAAAACGTCACTTGCTTAAGCTCGCTAATGTCAGAATATTACATTTCACATGATAAACAGTTATTAGATGAGTTTTTTTGTGATATCCAGAATTATCAAGGTCGAAGTGAGTGTTCGCCTGAATTTCAGACGGCCACTTTTGGGACATCTCAACGAGTGACCGTCTGAAATTCAGCTTAACCAAGTGTTATCAACCGAAATCTTGATAAATCGGGATATCACTGGATTCAATAACTGTTTCAAACCCTTTCGACAAACAATGATTTGTCGCACAAAACAACGTTTGGTTTTAAAAAAAGCAGTGAAAACGATATAAAATGTCGAACAATAACATGCAGCATGAAAAATAATAGAAAACTCAATCATCCAGCTACTAAAGTTCCGATAAAAAATGTCAAAAAGTTCTGCTTTTTGCACAAAAATCATTCACAAAAACGCCGTTCGCAGTTCCTGTTGGGGTTTTTCTTGTTTTTATTCGTGTATTTAAAACTGCAGCTGGCTATAAAATTATATATCGCCGGCTCAACCTATAGATAACAGTGTTATCTGCTAGGGGATAACACTATTATATGTGAATTGCGTGAGTTCTATATTTAGCTCCAAGCTACTGGCCAATGAGAAGACATGAAGTGACTACAATATATTCTAATATTGTATATTACCTTTCTATCATCATCCCTAACTGCAGGCCAGAATGTTAAAACAAGAACCGCTCCTAAAATAAACACTTTTATTATTAATCCTTGATATATCCGGGGTCATAAGAAACATCTAGAACTGCCCATTTCGGCAAGAACACACAGTGAGGTAGTGAACACAGGCTAACTGTGTGGTAGACAACCGTTTCGCTACTTCTAAATGGGTACATAACCAATATTCTAAATTTTAGAATGCGGGTAATACCCATGCTAGATATATACCTGAGCAATCCTAACCCCAACTCGACCATAACCTCTAACCCCTAAACCAGTTTTCCCAACACCCACCTCATCGACCGCCAGTTACGGTCAGTTGTATTTATAAGTAAAACTTTTGCCCAATGCTTGTGGTTTTGTCTTCAGTTCAAGTAGCTCAGGTATATACCTAGCATGGGTATTACCCGCATTCTAAAATTTAGAATATTGGTTATGTACCCATTTAGAAGTAGCGAAACGGGTGTGGTAGAAACGAGGTTATGGCTTGATGGATACCTGAATAACTAGGAGGGTCCTGGGGCATGCATCTCCTCCGGAAAATGTTCAATTTTAGACGTCCCATGCAGAATGACCATTTCCTGTGTTTTCAGAATGACATTTGCTTCTGTTTTTGCCTCAAATATCTGTATGGACGCATAACTTATAACTAGTTTTCATATAAAACTCGAAAACTCAATTGAGTTTTCGAAACTCAATCTTAGAACTGCCCATTATAAGTCTTAGAACTGCCCATTATAAAGACTTTTTAAAAAATTCTCGGAATTTTTTGTTTTAAATTTTCTGGAATTTTTGAAAAAGAGGCGTAGCGGATGTAGAATTAGTTTACATGTACAATATATTCACTAAATTCACACTATATTCATAAAATATAATGCACTATGGAATAATAAACGCAAGGATATGAACATTTTGAATTTCAACTTCTCAGTAAGTAAACAGCAAACAAGTGACTGGTCACGTTTTTAGAAGTCCAAGCTTTCATTTCAAAAAGCAAAAATATTTGCACTGAAAGCACTAGGAATACGTAAATGATTTTCTATCGAACATACCAAGTCTCATCAGGACGAAATTGGAGCTGAACTACTAAATTCGTTTGTTCATCGTCAATGCGGTTTATTCTCGATGAAGCTTAGCATACACAATGTAATAACGTTTCTTTATATGTTTCTTGAGGTTTCAGTGCAAATTTTTGCTTTTATTTACAACAGATTTAGGCAACAAATGGAAAATAATTTTCTCTAGTCACGTATTTGCCCTTTAAGGTTACAGGACACCCTTTTTGGCGTTTTGCGGAAAATCGCTACTGCGCACTCAATATCAGTCCGATTTTCATCAAATTTTCACCAAATGTTCTCCAGTGCATGTAAAATATGGTAAAGTTGTAAAATTAACAAACAATAAAATAATGTAAGAATTATTCAGGAAAATCTTAAATCGCGGTACCTTTACGCTTTTGAGTTGTGCTCCTGCTGGTTTTAAGTTATATTTATGAAAATAAAGTAAAATAGTTGTTCTAAAAAATTGTGTTCGGACATTTTTGTATATTTCGTCATTCCGCTGATATGGCGATTTCTTTGACGACTGCAATATATTTCTGAATTGTTTGAGTGAATTGCTCTTTATTTTTAAAATATCCAAAATTTTAAAAAAGCCGAACACAATTTTGAAACTGACGTATTTAGCTATGTCCTGTGAAAATTTGAGAAAAATTGGTTAAAACCCGCAGGAGCATAACTCGTTTGAAAATCAGTAATTACCGTAAAATGTTTCGTGAGAAAATTGAATTTGAATATTACATTTTCAATGCTTTTCTTATTGCAGCGAAATGTATTTTATTAAATAACTCTGCGAGTTTTCAACATTTTTCGTTCAAACTTGGTCAGATAGTAGAACTAGTCTAATGCTTTCATTGAAACCAATAAAAAAATTTTAGGCAAAATTAACACTCAAACGTGTTCTGTAACCTTAATCCAAGACGGTATACAAGGTAAAATGGGTCTATAAGATACCTTTCATCATCAATAAAAATTGTTTACAATATTCGTACACGCTGTCACACGTTACCTGAGAGACAAAGCCCAATAATTACCAAGATCCATCTTACCAGTTCGAATGGTATTACCCACAGTATCTGGAAGAAATAATTTCGGTGAACAAAACTCACGCTTCTAGAGTTCTTTTTAAGTTCGTTTTCACGCTTAAAGTGTTTTTTAACTACAGTAGTTCGATTTAAATTAGACAAAAAAGTACGAGGGTGCTGGCAGCTCAGAGCTAAACTACTACTAAAGCACTTTTGCTGCCGCCATACGACAAAATATCTGATCACGCAGCAAAGCTAGGTGGAAGATCAATATTTACGGTACAGGAGGAAACTGGAGCACCGCGAGAAAACCCAACCACAACTCCACCTAAGGAGGCTCCCTGCAGTTTCCAATATATGTCAGTGTTTTAAACAAAAAGCTATTTGAATCTAAAAAGCTATTTGAAACTAATTTTTTGCACAAGCCATTGTTTCTTCTTATATAAAAGAGTAATTTTAACCCACAATCGCTACTCTTCTTGAAAATCGCCAGTGTAGTTTTCGAATTGAATTTTAGCCTTTAAGACTGCATTTTAGCCTTTGGAAAGGCTGAAATTCAGTTTCTCGAAAACTACACTGGCGATTTTCAAATAACTTTCAAAAAGATTCAAAACTTCATAACAATGTATTTTCTGCAATAAAAAAGGTAGGTCACCGCACTTATCTGTCCGCTAAGACGGCTGTTTTTGTTGATATAGGCCATATAGATGGTGACGTCATGTTGTCATGGTAACATGAGGAATAGCGATTGTGGGTTAAAATTACTCTTTTATAATGGCTTGTGCAAAAAATTAGTTTCAAATAGCTTTTTTATATTCAAATAGCTTTTAGTACAAAAACATTGACACATATTGGAAACTAAGTACATTTAGTTCATACGTAGTCAACAATTTAAGCAATATCTTGCTCCACATATGGCCTATATAACTTTCAGTAGCAAGCGTTACTTTAAGAGGTATAAGGGAGAACGCGCTAACGTTTGGGAGCCATGGAAAAACGCTTCCTCCATAAGTTGAAACATCAAATTCGAAACGTGCACTGCAAAACCCAAAAAGTTAGTTCAGTTAAGAATTCTGGGGTAACAGAATTTACTCCTATTATTTGGGCAGACATTTCTGCCGCCATTTTCGTAGACTCGCGCATGTGCTTTACGTTTGACTGCGGTGTTCCTACCCGCAAGACAACCTTTGTTAGTAAAATTTCGAAGAAAATTTGAGCCCAACTTCCCAGGTGGGGGAGGAATCTGCCCCGGGCCGTACACCTGGAAATCCGTTTAAGGATGCATTCACGTTCCCAGACCACTAGTTTTGGTCGTCATGCTTAGTGGACCCCTGGTACTACGACTGCGCCATAATAGCCTAATTCCATCGAAGATTGGCTAACCTCCGCAGAAATAAGATCAACAAGCATGCCCAAGCCTCACTGGGCACTATAGCTACGACGTGCCATATGTATCTTAATCTTAAGCTCTACAGCTATTTCAATGAAGATTGTCACAAGCAATAGTCAAATGTACAATCCATTCGCCAAATGTATAATTTATGGGAATAAGATATTTTATAGGGTAAAATGTGTTATAAATCATGCATATGCCTGTGAATCGCCAACACATACCTGTAAGGAGCTATGGTCATAGGCTACCTAAACAGCTAAGCATATTAAAATGTGGTATACCCATCTTGCATGCTGTTCGACTATGACAACCAACAATTAACAATTGAAATGGTTCTATATGATGTTCTTTTCGTACATACCGATATTGGAATAAATATAGACAAGGAGTAACCATAGACGCATATTATTTCCAGAAATGAATATCCCGATGTGTTTCCACGCCACGTCAGAACACCCCACACACCGACAGGTACCAACCAAGCGTAGGCAAATATTGCAACAGCAGCGAATGTTACTAGAATAATGCGATAAAATCAGTGAACTACACGTTACTTGACTTCCTCAAATCACTCTTTCTCTGAGCTCTGTAACGGTCCACTATATTACGCAAGGTTTCTAGCAGTCTCCTGCGCCGCTTCGTGTAGCGACACAGAACTCACAGAAAGTCATAGTGGAAGTACGACAATATGTAACTAGGCCTGCTTCCATGCAGTCGCCCTCTCACGCCTCACTATATTTAACAATTTTTTCACCGAAGTGGATGTGAATAGTACAAGGATATTTCACCGAAATGCGAAGCGTTGAAGTGAATATACTTGCACTATTCACCGACACTGAGCGTGGGGGGATAATTGTTTTATATCATATCAAAACAAAAATTACCAAAAAACAACGAAAATATTTTAAATTTAAAACAATTTGTATTTCAGCTGAAAGTATTTACACGCTTTTAGTAATTGTATTCATTAGAAGAAATAGCTTTAAAGAATAACTTTCGTCGTCTTTGGCAAAACCGCAGCTTCGTTTAAGGCTGATTTCCAGTGCTGCGTTTTTCGTCCGTTTTTTTACGTACGTACACTCACGTTTACGCGGAAACGGATGAGTTGAAGCTGGTTCAACTCATCCGTTTCCGCTTGCGTAGCACCCGTACGTAAAGCTGGAGCCTACGAGCAACAAAATTGCTGCAACTTACAACAAAATCTTATTTCAACGCATGTTAAGCAGAAATGTCGATACGTGTTGCTTCGTGATTTGTAACTTATGTGTAAACATTTTCAATTAACATGCGTTGAAATCAGAATTTGTTGCAAGTTGCAGCAATTTTGTTGCTCGTATTACTCCACCTTAAACGTAAGTGTACGTACGTAAAAAACGGATGAAAAACGCAGCACTGGAAATCAGCCTTTTGTACAATAATTTGCTCGTCTGGAACCGGAACGAAACGGGAAGCCATTTTCTTTCTGTCTGGAAGTGAATAGTGCAAGGATATCCGGAACTGGGCAACAAATCGAATTGCGTGAAAAGCATCATGCACCTCCCAAATATATACTAATTATTCATATTGTACAGCAAGTACACAAAAAGGGGGAAAGAAGTATCAATGTATTCATACACTTGAACAAATATTGACATGAAAAGTGCGTGAAAATACCCCCTTCAGGGCAAGAACTTGTAAGAACAACATTTTGAACGTATTAAACGTTTTCCACGGTCGATTCAAATTTAGAAAAATAATAAGCATCTATACAAATTGTATTTAAAAGAGGGAATTGAAGTGCATTGAAGGATATGAACGGCCACTGATATTTTTGAAAAGCCAGTAATAGGTTGTAATGGTCTCGGCTAAAATGTCTTGTTTTTTATGATTTCAAATTCTCATGAATACATATTTATTCTTTGATCTGAATGCTTGATTTGATTGGGATGTTAAGTTCAATACTTACAGGAATTTTCAGAATTTCAAATTTTACCCTCTCGAAAGATATCGTAATTACAGTTATTGTAATACTGTACATACAGCATATAACTTTCAAAAAAGTCATGTTAAAATTTTATCTTCGTAACTTTTAACGGCGTCACAAGTTTCAGCGTTTCCTGACTTACTTTTATGAAAATCGTACGCCCAGTTGTGATCACCAGTATGTATCAAGTAGTTCGCTAGATTTCCTGATATCGCTATGGTTACTACCAAGGTGGCACAAATCCAAAATGGACCTTTGAAAAATACATAAAGATCCGTCAAATGTAGACGTTAGGTAGTAAAAGCATGAGATACCACAAATAATCAATTATTAAACGTTGTATGCTAAATTGCAGTAGGAAAAGTCGAAGAAAAAGGAAATTTCATGGGCAGACATTTTGCCAGTGGGAAACTAAGATTGGGCAGGAAACCGGACAGCCGAAGAATTCTAGGCAAGTAAATACCTTACTGCAGAAATTACTTCTAGAGACTTTTGTTTATGATTATATAAAGACCTTGAGATTGAGTTATAACGGTAATAAACAGACTAGCACCACGCCCTTAAAATTAATTAAAGTACCTATATCACTTGTGGGACCTTTATGGATTTGAAAACAGCGTAGAAGTTAGTTAGTAATAAGTTCAAAGGAATTTTTGACTTAGTGCAATAGTTTTGAGGATATAGACCTTTAAACAACGGACTGTTCCTGAGTCCCAGTCTCCTGGGGTGTAAACACGGCTATTGAATTTGGCCTTTTTCCAAACTGTCCATTGTGCATAGAAGCCTGGGACTCCGGAACTGTAGGTAGTTTAGAGGCCTGTATCTTCTAAATTATTGCACTAAATCAAAAAAATCTTTTGAACTTATTAAATAATTTTTACGCTGTTTTCAAACCCATAAATGTCCCACAGGTGATATTGGCACTTTAATTTTTATTTCAGCGCAAATCTCAAAAAGAAGAAACCTGTGGCCTAGGATAAGCCTCGAGGATAGCATGCCTGAATAAAAACCAGTTAACTCTGATAAATCCAGTTAGCTCTCCCTATTTAATTAACAACTAGTCGCCGAAGGCGAGGTGATGCAAGCCTATATATTCACTGTGCCGAAGGCTTGTGATTATATAGGCTTGTGATTACCGAGCCTGAGGCGATTAATTGTTTTAGTATAATTTCAGGATTGAAAGAGTTTTATTAATAAATACAACTAATATACGTGTTTATTTTATAGAATTTACTTCCGTCTGATTTTCAGCCATTTTTTTGAAAAGCAATAGTTGCTGCTCAGATTAGTCTTAGCAGTAACTATTGCCTCAGAGTTACTGCTGAGGGAGCCAATCAGTATGCTCGAAGGCCATTTTTCAATACTCAAATTATACTTAGACTAATGTAATTAGTTAGAATGTTAGATGTCCCAAATCCTGGTTTTTAACTTAGATTCAGTTTATGTTTCACAATAATAGAAATAAGTAAGGTACAACTCACCATAAAGATCGGGATTCGATCGTATTTGTGTCGTGAGATAATTCCTCTTTCGTACAGGTACCATGGAACCCAGTATTCGCCTCAAGACCTTAAATAAAACACAACGTAAGAAATTCAAAAATCGTGTGGGAATGCAAACAAACATCCACTGCAAAAAAAACCTGAGTAAATAATGCACACACATGCAGTGACTCAAAATTTTGAGTAACATTTATACTCCAATTTATGAGCAAATTTACTTAATATTTTGACAAAGTGAAGCTTCAAATTCACTCAATTTTTATATATACAGTACATTATACCGCATAGTTTGACCATGGTCTAGGGGCTACTTGTGTACTTTAAAGTAATATGACCTTACTAGTCCTGTATTGTATGTCTGAATATTGCAAAAAGCAATTACACGACGGCAAATCGCACAGAAACCGGAATCGGCCATGTCACTATAAGCATTCAGTGCATGGCATTTTGAACTTGGTCAAGATTTTAATTTCGCGCACTTTTGGTTAGCTTTATAACTTCGTCTTATTTTTAACAAAATAAGGTTCAAATGAGTTCCGAAATACCACATACCCAAACCGACGTGGCCACGTAGCTCAGTTAGTAAAACATTGGGCTAGCAAACCAAAGGACCGTCACGGATTCGATTAACTTCAGCTGTGCACATAACACCACAATCATTATACTCAAGTTTAAAGTATTCTTAATTAATTATGCTTGAATTACAGTATTGTAGCTAATATTCTTTTTTGGGTCTTTAACTTTTTCTTAACCTCAAATTTCCACCAAAAAATCGAAAACTTTGGCGATTTAAATTGAAATAATTGAATAGTTCGCCTCATTGCTGCCGAAGACAGCCTCCTATTCTTGACGATGTATTATAGCGCATTTGAATTTCCCGCCAACAGTTTTATATACTGAAGCGTATCTCGATTTTGTGTCGTTCACGTTTTTGTCAGCAGTTGTGACGTCAAATTATGACGTTGCAGTAAGGAATTTACATTGGAGCATTATCATACCCCAGGAGTTTACGATAGCAAATCGACGACTGCCGAATACTTTGTACAGTGATCTGCGAACGACGTACCACGAATGGCGTTTAAATTTCGATCTGCAGCTTTGAGGTTTGTAGCAAATAAACAATTAAAACATGAGGTCAGGAGCGAAGGAAAGACATCTTTGTGTAAATAGTGCCTTATCATATTCAGGTTTTGTGAGAAAGGGAAATTTTATTTAGAGGTATGTCAAGTTGCTCGATTTTTTTCTTTTATAGACTTTATATAAGCTCAATTCACAGCGAATTTCAACTGTTTATATTTGAGACGAAAGGCCGAAAGCCAACACGTTTTTGTTTGGTACTTCGTATGTACAGCAGTACAGGATTTTATAATAAATGTTTTTGTTTAGTATGTACAGGATTTTTAAAATATAACAAAGACTTACCATTTTAAAATTGATTTTAAACGAATTCATGAAATAACAATGTTTAAAAGCTTTATTTACTAATAAATAAATATATTAATGCAGCATATTCATCACAAACTCTATCGCGGAATGTTGTGTATAGTATATGCACGTCTTAGGGCCTGTTTATATGGAAGCCGGGCTGGCCCGCTAAAGCCGCGTTCACACTAGCGGCCCAGGCCTGGACCTGGTCTGGGTGTAGGTGTGAACAGGTTTTACCTGGCCTGAGCCTGGCCTAAGTCAAGAAATCCAGGCCAGCAAATGTAGGTGGCCTGGCCCTCGATCATCACTGGTGTGAACAGGTTTTTCCTGGGCCTGGCCTGGGCGAGGCCCCGTTACCATCGCAATATCTGCCCACGATGAAAACTGGTCAGATGATTGTCATACAATTGGAGGGGAAAACATTCAAAGCGCGAAATTAAATACTTTAGTGGAACACAAGGACGTTTATATTGACGCCTGATTGCTTTGGCCTGGAGTTGGGCGTCAAGCCAGTGTGAATGCGTCACAATTGGCCCAGGCCTGGGCCGCTGGTGTGAACGCGGCTTAAGTGAGACAGCCCGGTAAGCGAGATCTCGCTGTGTAGTTATCTTTATAGACTAGTAAAAATTATCGTGCGTTTATATGGACAAGCGGGCTGGCCTGGTTGCCGAGATCTCGCTTGAAAGAGGCGAGATCTTGCCTACCGGGTTGGAAATTTCTCCATATATAAAACACTCACAAGGGGGCTAGCCCGGTTGCCGGGATGAAAGTTCAAAGATACTAAAATTGTCCCGGTGTCCCAGGATTTTCGCCCCCCCTACATTTTCGCCCCCCGGGGGGGCGAAATTCCTAGGAATATCGCCCCCCCCAGGGGGGCGAAAATCCTAGGAATTTCGCCCCCCTTTAGAAAATTCGCCCCCCTTTAGAAACTTCACCTTTTCTTTAGGATTTTCGTCCTCCGTTCAATATTTCGCCCTTCCTAACAGTTGCATGGGATAATTATTACATGGCTTTAATCAAATTCAAAATTGTTAAGACAGAGCTTGAAATAACAACCGATCACCGATCGGCAAGGAATTGCTTATGATCGGCAGAAAAGCAGGGTTTCGGTTTCCAACCTGAAAAAAGCAGGAAAAGTCATGACTGCCAATCACCATGATCGTGAACTTTGGGAACGTTTATTATTTCAAGCCTTGCATGTAAGAATACAAATTTACAATTAGATGTATCGAAAGGGCACACAGTTACAGTAGATCAATAGGACTTATGACGCTTCACAGCACACCATGCATATTTTGCATTTTCACTGTTAATCCTCATTGTTAAAAAGTAATCACCGTGGTGGTTATTGTAATTATTGGTATTGTTTTGCATCCACGTTTTGTCGTTATTGGAAAATGTGTGGCTTATAAGTTGTCACTATTTTTTGCTTGCATTATTTCAATATAGTTTGTAAATCTCAGAAGCGAAGGGTAGAACTTGCCAATAGGCAATACTCCAATAATATACGTTTCAAAAGCTGAAAAGCTTTTAGTTTTGGCGAGTTACATTCTCAAATGTTTAAGGCACTAATAAAATCAAAGTAGCATGAAATTATTTGAATCAATCACACCACATATATAATGCAATTTTCTTTGCGGAAGTCAAGAATCAAGATTACATCACTGACATGGAAAGTTGATGATTCAACGGACAATAGTCAATACGCTTCCCAACACATTCCATAGATTTTTTATTAATCCTATAGTTTATTGTTAGCAAGTGATTAGTACACTGATTACTGTGGCGGCTATTGTTAACACTGGTATTGATAAAATTTGCCAGCGATTGTTTTTATAATATGTAATGTGAATGTAAACTGTCAGAAGAATACGACAACATGATTTTACGCGACCTCTGTGGGCAATGGTTTCACTTTAGATGTGTAGAATATGACACTAGTCTAAGTACCAGCTGCTATAAAGAAGCCTAAAATGTGTACGTAATTTTGTCTTCTTGTAATAAATAAATAAATAAATCACACAATAAATCTTTTCAACTTGCAATCGTTTTGTTTTTAGATCAAAAATTCAAAATTTATATGGGGGGGCGAAATTCCTAAAGGGGGGCGATATTCCTAGGAGATTCGCCCCGGGGGGGCGAATATCCTAGGAATATCGCCCCCCTTTTGAGAGGGGGGGGGGGGCGAATCTCCTGGGGGGGCGAATCTCCTGTGACACCGGCAAGCAGGATGAAATTTTCTCATATAAACACAAGAGAAATTCATCCCACTTACCGGGCTGTCTCGCTAAGCGGCCCAGCCCAGCTTCCATATAAACAGGCCCTTAATATAAATCAGGCTTTATAATATAAATATATTGCTATAGCAACCCAATGTGGATAATTGTTGTCTGCACATATTAACTTACCAGCAGTTACAAGGTATGATGGTCTGTAGCATAATATGAAATAATCCTACAGGCCTTCATTCATATATTCACCTGGCTGTGTCACTACATTTCAGAGTATAATATATTTTTCGAGAATGCTCACAATTTCTTTCTTATTTTATAGTTTTGCAGTTCTGACTGAGTACAATCTTAGTCATTACAAATGAATGGTGTCATCTGAAGCTGACGTATTAAACAAAAATGTCAACAAATAGATTGTCTCCCCATCAGCAGGCTGTTCAGTTGTTCTGCAATAGGGATAGCCTTGAAGGTGCCATTAAAACGATAATTGGGACAAAAACGGACTTAGTATTTCTATATATGAAATTTTTATTAAATTCTACATGTCCAATGATTCATTCAAGAAGTATTATTGTTTATACATATGGTATTTTACCTCCCTTCTCCACAGATGCTTCTGTTGGCTATGGTGGAGGAGAGAAGTATTGCACAGTATTCAGTGGCAAGCTGCTGAATCGCAACTGGTCATCATGACCAGTTGCCATGGCAAATGTTGCCTGCAATGCAAATCATTAAAAACTTAGCATGACCTGTTGCTACGGCTAGCTTCGCCACGGATAGTATTATAATTATACTAACAAAAGCAAGAAGTAATAAGCATTGAAGGTATTCATATAAAATTGCCCATGTCAAGAAAGTAGAATTAGAATATTTAGCTGTCCTTTGACTTTGTGAAGGTGTTTGGTATTCAAATTGCATTTTCCAACCTTCTGAACAGGCATCTTAGGGACTGTTTACATGATGGAAGGTCGGGTGATTTTGTTGTATTGAAATAAGTCAATAGGCTAAACGAAAGTTCAAATACAGGTTAACAGA